GCGGCTGAGGGAACTGGGACTGTTTAGCCTGGAGAAAAGGAGGCTGAGGGGAGACCTCATCGCTCTCTACAACTACCTGAAAGGAGGTTGTAGCGAGGTGGGTGTTGGTCTCTTCTCCCACGTAACAAGCGATAGGACGAGAGGAAATGGCCTCAAGTTACACCAGGGGAGGTTTAGATTGGATGTAAGGAAAAATTTCTTTACTGAAAGAGTGGTGAAACATTGGACCAGGCTGCCCAGGGAAGTGGTGGAGTCCCCATCCCTGGAGGTATTTAAAAGACATGTAGATGAGGCGCTTAGGGACATGGTTTAGTGGGCATGGTGGTGTTGGGTTGACGGTTGGACTCGATGATCTTAGAGGTCTTTTCCAACCTCAATGATTCTATGATTCTATGTTCAGGAGATTTGCACTGGACAGTAACTAATCACTTTAAAAGTGATTTTAAAGTCACTGTAAGTGCACGATGAACCCCCTTGGCACGTGGCAAACAACTGCAGTGCTACCTGCCTGAGACCTGGTTTCTGACAGGCTTTATCAGCCATTCAGCTGGCAGGCAGTGATTTGGCTGAAGTACCCCATCTGAGGAGAACCCACGTTGCAAGCGCTCAGAAAACTGTGCCTTCAAATAAGGGATTGTGCTGATTTGACTCCATCTGTTTAATGTACTGATTCAGTTAATTTATTGGGAAAATTCAGTATAGATGAGGACCAATCCCCCTAATCAAAGGGAACTGTCTCTCTGACAGACTGATGCTTTCACCCCTAACTATCTCAGTGAAATATTAACATTAAAAGCTTAAGGATAATTTTTTTTTTTTAATGAAAGTCAGTATTAACTATTTGACTGTGATCACTTTAGTGGCTAGAATGAACAAAGCATCAAGTGTGAAAGCAATGAAACAGGAGAAGTGAGACTTGGCAGGAGGAAGAAACACCACAGGAAGACTGAAGGAGACAGAAAAAGGAAGCTTGGGAAAAAAGGAGAAAAGAGGAAAGGAATGCGATAGCTAAAATGAAAAAGATTTTCTTGCTGAGACATGCCAGGTGTGAACAACAACAAAAAGACACTTAAGGTACTACAGTTATTAGCAACAATCCCACAGTCATTCCCATAAAGATTACATCTCCATCCAATATTCCCAATCCATGGTAAGTAGAAGACGACTCCTAATATTTAAAACTAGTTCATAGACCAGAATTAAAAAGCAGTCTAATTTTCCCCTGCCTAGGCTGGCCTCTCACACCATCATCCAGCCACTGCTGCTCAATTCATTTCTGGCACACATGTGGCAGATACCTAATGGATACCAATGGAGCAAAATTACCAACCGAGAAGATCCCACAGATCAAGCCAAAAACTTCTCATTTTGCTCACCCTGCCATCACTTCCAAATGGAGCTGGCCAGAAACTGTCAGGAAGGCAGGCACATTGAAGAAATGGGTCTTTTCCGCAGATTCCCTTGCCTCATTTGACATCTGTAAATCAAAAAATGAGCAAGAAGTTAGACTACCGGTGTTTGAATAAAAAGCACAGCTCCCGGTTTATTTTCCCTTTTTTCTCTGAAGAAATTCCATGAGATTCAACCCAAACACTGCTGAGATGGAATCCAACAGTGTGGTAAGTCATAATACAATGCTCCATATCTTTGTTCAGACTGCTAATGGGCTCTAAAACCTATTTAAGCAAAACACAGTAAGAAAAACCCCACAAGATAAAGCATTCTTGGGCACTTCTCTTTCTAGGGGTCCGATGCAAATAATGTGTCTGTGTAGTGAAAAGCCATACTTTAAGTGGGAAACACCACAGCTCCCTCTTCCACTTTCAGTGACTTATGAGGATATGGGTTGTAGGTATCACAACAACTTGCAGGGCAAGTCTGTGAATGGTGGGACATACCCCCAGCTTCCCCAGCAAAGCTTGGACATGTCAGCACAGAGGAAGGATACGCAGTTCTTTCAGACATTTCTCAAACTAACAGGGATCATAAATTGGATCCCCAGCAATTAGTTGTATCAGTTCAGCTGAGAAGGAAGTAACTTGTTAAGATGACACAGCTTCATAGAATTTGACTGTTTGCCCTAAACTTTGCAGGCAGCACAGAGTTCGTACAAAGCTAAAATAATATGTGGCTCTTCACTTCTCACCTCTTGTCTTTGCATGTGGGTATGTCGGGAGCTCTAAATTTTACTCAAGAAAAGAATTGTGTAACTTACGTGTTTAAACATCCACGAGCTCAATGAGGAATGACATTGTAGAAAGGAAGGAGGTAACAAAATGTGAAGTAAAAGGTCTGAAAGGACATATTCACCATTTTACATGCAAGTCTGAGACCAAGAGTGGTAGAAATGCAGATTTTCTGGAGTAGCCTCTGACTTTTGGCTCCCTGGTAAAGTAACGCGTACATAGCTAAGGGTTTGTCTGCCTAAGAGTTTGGGAGCAGGTGGAGAAACCAGATCCCATGTTTCTGGGAAATGCAGACATACAAAATGAAAATCCCTCTGGAACATCTGTTGAAGAACATTTTGCCCAGCAACATACAAAAGAAAGATGCCAGCCTATTGATCCAGTCTCCAAATATAAGTATTGATTTTTAACTCTTTCCTACCAAGATGAACAGTGAGGGGGGGAAGGGAAGAATCTCTATCTCTTGGAAGTTTGAAGCTTCACGCAGCACTGCCTTCAAAATTCAATTTCAAGTCTGATGAGAAAATGGAGGAGTATTTTCCGTCAGGTGCACCGAATTTTAGCAGACTTAAAACCAGTGCTATTTCCTTTTCATGTGCAAATGAATTTGTTTCCATTGCAAAAAGACCAACAGTAATCAGAAGAAAAAAAAAAGGAATGCAATACCCTCTTAAGACTTGTTATTCAGTCTTCAAAGAAAGCAGAACTGAAACAATTTGGAGTTGGAAACATCACAGCTTACACATTATATAGGCACTGAAAAACAAACTACATTTCAGCTTTTGCATGTTTTTTTCTGGTCACCAGATATTTTAAGCATAAAAAAAACACGAGTGATGGAAAATTTAGCAAGTTCAGTGTTTCATTATGAAAAATGGTCTTAAAAAAGTCTCATTAAAGTGATGGTATATTTTTGTTTTTTAATTTACAGGCACAAAAGACAAAATTAGAAGACCTCTGTGTCGAGCACTTTAGAAGTCATTTGAGCATAAGGAGTGTGCTTCACCATTTCCCTGGCAGACACGAAGCTGACCAGAAGAGAGCAAGGAGCCCTCATGGCAAAGAAAGTCACCAGTCTCCTGGGCTGCGTTAGGCAGAGCGCTGCCAGCAGGTCAAGGGAGGGAATCCCTCCCCTCTGCATAGCACTGGGGACTCACCAAGGTCGCTGGGTGAAGCGCTCTCCTCCCCAGTACAAGACAGACATAGATATACTGGAGTGAGTCCAGCAAAGGGCCACAGAGATGATTAATGGACTGGAGCATCTTTCATATGAGGAGAGGCTGAGAGAGCTGGGACTGTTCAGCATGGAGAAGAGAAGGCTCAGGGGGGATCTTATCCATGTGTATAAATACCTGATGGAAGGGAATGAAGAAGGAACCAGACTCATCTCAGCTGTGCTCACTGAGAGGACAAGAGGCAATGGGCACAGATTTTAAAAAAGACACATGAAATTTCATCTGAAAACAAGAATAAACTTTTTTTTTTATTATTTACTGTGAGGGTGGTCAAACACTAGAACAGGTTGCCTAGAGAGGCTATGAAGTCTCCATCTGGGGAGATACTAAAAACTCGGCAGGACAGAGTCCTGGGCAACTTGCTCTAGCTGACCCTGTTTGAGCACAGTGAGATGGATTAGACGATCTCTAGAGGTCACAATTCTGTGACTTTTAAGAAAACATGAAGATAAATGAGATTTTTGTTTCAGCATTTTCTATATTTCAATGTCATCCCTAAGCTTCGGAGGATTCAAAGGTTCAGGAGAAAGACAAAAGAAACTTCGAAGCTAATCTGAGGTTTGGCTGATCTACATTCACTTCCAAACGAATGCGTTCTTCTGAGATAAGTTTGAAATACCCACTTTTCAAAGTGTAATTCCTAGGAGTTATGCTAAGTGCTGCCAGCTCAGCTAAGTATGCCACTGCCTCCAGCCACCCTACTGCCCAACTTGCTTTGTCACAGGGAGGTTGCTAGGCTCAGGCTTGTTCACCAGCCTTTGATATTCTACAGTCTGCCATTTTTCTCAATGAGTCGGAAGGTGTTGCTTTTGTTCTCAAAAAGCTCTGCTGCTCATCCAAAAGATAAAACAGAGACTGCTAAAGACCTCAAGATCACAAGGCAGTTTTATCTCTTCACCACATCACACTAAAGAAAAGAGCAAACTTGCCTTGCTCCACAGAGATCAATGGAAATATGACAATTTGTGGCTGTAACTCCAGGACTGCTTCCTTTGTTTCATAGGTTTTTCAGTTCTAAAAAAAAACAAACAACAAAACCCAAGGATGCAGAAGCAGGCCCCTATTGTTTTCTTCAAATAAACCCAGAGTATTTGCTCAAAAACAATAAGGGTATTAATAAACATACAAACATCCACATACCACAGCCCCAGAGCCATGGCCAGAACACTAAAGAGAAGAGCCACGTACCACTCCAGTTTCTCCTACTGCAAGCTTAGTTCAGCTACATTCCTTGTTCCACCAGTGAAAAATCCCACCTAATCCTGTGGGATGCAATTTCTAAACAACAAGAAAGAGACAGACTGGAAGCAGGAAAAGAACAGAAGAAATCAGCCATGAAATCTCAACACTCCCCCCCCCAAAATCCACAAACAGGATACAGCTGTCCCCAGGAGCTGGGGCTTGGTTTATTTATAATGACTTTGTGTCATTTTTCATTCTCCAAATCAGATGCAATCTCAGGGAGGCAAAGACAAAATAGACACAACAGTAAGTGACTGGAGGAAGAGTGTGAGAAAGTCTACAGCTCAACCGGACTTCTAAAAACCTGCAGGCCACTGAGAGATCCTGAGATGCATGTCTGCATCGCAAGCAGCTCCTGGATGGCTTCCAACAGAAGGTGAAGAGTGAACACTGCAATATTTAGGTAGAATTTTATTCCCCCATCACCATCCGATCGCCTTGCCTTCCCACAACTGCCCACTTCCTCTCCCTCATTTTGAGACACAAAGCTTGATGAACACATGTTGTGAGCTGCAAAAGTCAATCCACCTGCTACACAGGGAAAATGAAATGCCTCCCTTTTCCTTGCTGAAGGGGTGCCTTCAGTAAGAAGGTATCCCATAATCAGCAACTTCACATTTCACATGTACAAATATCAATTAACCCCCTAGAGGTGGTTCCTCCACTTTACAAATTCAAGCACAGGATCAGGCCAATGTTTTCAAGTGCCTGTGCCCCAGATTTATGCTCAGCCTTTTAGATCAAGCTTGCTTCTTTATTATAAACAACCACAGTCACTGGTAGAAGATAAATAATAAATAGTAGGTGATGCTATCCCTTCGCTGCTGACACGGAGCAAGATTGTTTTTCATGTCCATGACTAGCAAAATGAAGCGACAACATTGTTCTGCTTTTATTTCAATTAGACAGACATTGCTCCCACTTCCCAACCCCAAAATACCTACTTGATAAAAGAATAGGGGGGAATAATGTGTTTGCTTTCAAGTTCTCTCCATTCCCTAGTCAAAAACCACCCAAATTACAATGGCGAAAGAGGGAGGGGGAATCTATATGAAACATCTTGGTGTCTCAGAGTAAACGTGCTATAAACATACCAGGGTTCGACGTCAACATCAAAGGCTTTTTATTCTCATTCTAAACATGAGAACAACTGGATTTAGTACCTGTTTTGTCCTCCATCTCCTCAAATGTCTAATGATTTAATTTAAAATTATTCCCTTTGATGTCAGTCTTGTATTAACTTGAGGAAATTAGCTTCAGGAGAGTATAAACCGTTTGATTCCATCTCTCACTCTAAGCAAGCCAAACGCATGAAGGGATCAGAGAAGACTTGAAAAGCTCATAGACATCACTGCTGTAGCTCTAGCCCAGGCCCACAACATCATGCTGCTGAAGCTTCACAGCACCACATCTTTAACCCAGACTTGCCTTCTCTGATGTCCCATTATAAACATGATTGGGTTTTCCTTTTTTAGGCAACCACTGCAAAATTCATAACTTCCAAGACCACCTCCTTGCAATTCCAGTCCTAATTCTGATCAGCTGGACTTGCATTGGGCAATAGCAGCTGGTTCTGCTGAGACAAACATCTCATAAATATGGACTGGAATTACAGGCAGAGATGAACCAGGTAGAAACGAGCAGAAACTGGGAGAGACAGAAAAGGCAAGAGCAAGACCTCCCTCAGCTCAGTTCCAGCTTACCCTGATCCCTGCTGAGCACCTCTCTGAAGTCCCAGTCTGCCAGGGACTGGCTGCCTCCCAGACTGTGACATATCTCTAAAGGGGGAAACACTGGACAGACACTAATACTGTTGCATTTAACTGTGATTCTCCCCAGCAGATTCCAGCCTTCCTTGGTGCTGACAAGGCTCTTTTTCAGCAGTACCGAAGGAACGGTAGGAGCAAGTTTCTGCACCTTCAGCAGCAGGCACGTATTTCTGGTGCCACAGCAGGCACAGCCATGCACCTGCACCCATCAGGGATCTAGAAACTTTTACATTCACTCCTGTGAGCAGGTGGCAAAAACCCAAACACCGTACCATCTCTGATCTCTGGGTACATTTTAGATAAGAACAACATCTGGATGGTTCTTCATGTTTACAGTTAAGTAAGTATCCTTTCAAATAATGAAATAGTCTGATCCAGACCCTGGGTTCAGTCAAACAACACCCAGATGCAATGAGGTATGTGTGTGGGAAGAGACAAGCCTGATACAGAACACGTATTACCTCCGCTGGAGCCAACAGGTAGAGTGCAGCACCCCTTACACGTAGAGCACCGTCCCCAGGAAGGAATAAGGCCACAGGCAATACAAAACACATGTGAGATCTACTTTAAAGAGCTGTGAATGCCAATACAGCTGTTGTGCTTTCTAACTCACTGCACGCTGAGTTCTTTTAAAAGGCTGTGGCTGGGCAGCAGGGAAAGTGGCTGTCCAGGGCCTCATCATACCAGCTGGAGTGTCCTGGGCCAGAAAGACTCTTCCAGAGCGGAGACAAGCCTGCATGTTCCCCACAGCAGCTGAGGACAGTCAAACAAGGCAACTTTCCAGGGAAGAAAGTGAAAAAGACAGAGCAAGAGACCCAGAAAGCAGGGAGCCTTCAACACTGCAGACAGAGTGGGAGGCTACTGAAAATAGCAGGGAACAGACATGCAGCCGGGTCACAAAGACAAAAGGCAGATTTCCTAGGATGCAGCCCAGAAGGGGACTGGGTAAAGTTTCTTGCAACATACACAGCTGCTAAGAATTTTAGACTTCAGAAGAAAAAAGAAAAAAGCAAGGAAGGGATCTGCCCTGATGAGCTAAGACTGCTGGTACAAAGGAATTATCCTGATTAAACTAAACTAAAATAAAAATGGCCATCTCACTCTGCTGATCTGCATTCCCCCTATTTCAAGAATTACCTTGTTCTACTTTGCATTCTACTAAAACCCAGCTTTCAATATTCAAAGCTCTTTTGGCATTTTCAGTAAGTTTACTTTAAAGAAGGCAGCACAAGCAAGGGGCTTCCCCCCTCCAGGGTTCCACCAAAGGCAGACACCGTCAAAGGTGCAGAAATCCACAAGCTGGTGTTGCTGATGTTCTCCGTGTGGGTTAGGGTCTGCCTGGCTCTTCTCACACTTCCAGCAGCTTCTCCTCAAACTTCTCAAACCTACTCTTTTCAGGTGTAGAAAATCTCAAGTGCAAAAGATTTCTCTGGAGTTCTTATCATCTTGTGATTTATTTTTTAAAGTTTCCTCTGCTTACCACCCTCTTTTCACTGTTACAGTACTTCATTTTAAAAATATTTACCTCAATTGATTTGTCCAGCAGAGAGGAAAGGGATTCCTCCCCATCCCAAGTCCCAGTATGAGAACATCCCAACCAAAGCTATGCAGAGACTAATCAGTATGCCCACAACCAAAGATAGTGAGGAGGCTGAACATATAAACAAACACAAATCCTACAGGATTAAGAGGTCTAGAAATCAAAGATCACATGCCTTCAAAAAGAATTTTCCTTCTAACTCAGGATACTTTCTTCCCGTATCTTCAAGTCTCATGTAAAAACAGATTCCTACTCTCTTCACTTTCCACCATTTCCAAAGAATGCACGGGCCTGAGCAGCCACCAGACATTAGTCAGAGGATTAAAATTGTGCCAGTCAGAAGACAGCTACTAAAAGGCGATGGGTCACAGCGGGTGCAAAAGCAGCCTCTACTTGGGTTCTAAAGGCTACTCAACCAAAGTTTTCAACTTATTCCACCCACAGTAGGACAGCTAAACTGGCGAGATTATCAATTTTATATACTGCCCAAGGGAGCTAAAAAAAAAAAAAAAAAAAAAGGGCAGAAAAACCAACCTGAAAACAACCTGTAAGCAGCAGGGGGATTGTAACTACTACAAATTCAGGAGCAACAGGACACCAATTTATGTTCTGGTCACTACTAGAGGATAGGTCTTAAAACTTTAAGTACAGGTTTTAAACATTTTTTAAATTAATAATGTTTTTTTAATAATGGTTCAAAGCTGCGCCAGGGGAGGTTTTAGACTGGACACTAGGAAGCATTTCTTTACCGAGAGGGTGGTCAAACACTGGAACAGGCTTCCTAGAGAGGCGGTCGATGCCCCAAGCCTGTCAGTGTTTAAGAGGCATTTGGACAATGCCCTTAACAACATGCTTTAACTTTTGGTCAGCCCTGAAGTGGTCAGGCAGTTGGACTAGATGATCCTTGTAGGTCCCTTCCAACTGAAACAGTCTATTCTATTCTAAATTGAAGAATCTAATTTGCAGGTTGCTTTCGCTGATTCCCATCTCCATAATTCTTGGCTACTGCTCAAATGTAAGAGCAACAGGAATTTATTTTCTCCCTTGGCCTGTGCAAGCAGTGAATTAAGGGCTAGTTTAAAAGTGACTGAATACAGCAGACAGGGAATGTGTTGATGGTTGGTTTGATTAAAAGCATATGGAGATTCTGGGCTTTGCTGCAAATACTACCTCCTTATTTTTATGTCTGATACCCTTATGTCACCTTATTTTTATGTCTGACAGCCTCACACGCATGGCCCAAGGAAGACCTAATCTTCCCCAGATTTCCACTGTCAAGAAACAGTGTCACTGCTCCAGTGGAGTCAAGTGGTCACAGCAGGATAGCAAGTGATCTTGGATCTCTGCTAGCCAAGACCAATTCTGCACAGAGCTTTGCAGAAACAAAACCAAATCCTACATTAGGCCGGACAATGAAGCGGTGCTCAAAGAAGAAACAGGAGATCAGGGAGCACTTCCCAGCAGCAAAGGGGTTTCTGAAGCCCTTTCTTTGTGGCACAGGCCATTTAATGGGATCTGACTCGGCACTTATTCCACATCTTTCAAGCACATCTGTCACTACATTTCTCCAAGCCAGGTATTATTTACACCTAAGCAATCACACTGGGGAGACAGCAAGAGATTTGCCTTGAACCATGCATTTAGCCAAGATCCAGTTTATACAAGTTTCAGACTCACAATTTAGCACCTCAATCTATGTTTGCATCAGTGCTTCTGTTACTACCAGCCACCTACGCTGTAGTCCTGCATCCTTTACAGCTTTCAAGTGGATACAATTTGTACCAAAGACGTAATACACTGTACAGCTGCAAACTGTATAATGTTCTCATCATTAAGTGTCACTTGTTTTCACATCTTAATTTGCATGCAACAGCCTGGGACGAACCTTTGGTAGCATTAAGGGATCTCAATTAAATTGGAACAATTTAGTTTAGCTAATCAAGTCTATTGTCCCAGCAAGCAAAAAGCTGAGCCACATGTACTGGTCTGGAAGGAAATCACTTGTAGCACAGGTTAGACCTCGAGATCCTGAAGAACCAGTACATGGAGGCTTTTTGTCATGAGGCTGTGCAGAGAGTGGAAGACGCGATCCCGCAGCAAGCAACTGCTACCTCAACAATTTTTCTTTTGCTTACAGATGATTCACCAGCAAGGCTGGAGCCAATAAGGATAAGTGGCAATGGATGTAATTGTTTGAGACAGAAGAGTGAATTTCAAATATAGAAGTATAAAAGGCATATGCAATTTCTTATGATTCATAGATGTGGGGGTTAGGAATTATGAGAAGTCTGTGGGGAAGATCTTAGTGGTTACAGCTGTATTTAAGTTTCATAGGACGTTTTGACCCAAGACGTGAAATACTTTATATAATGATAGATTGTGGCAGTGATTTGGTGGATGGATGGGGAGACCTGGCAATGCTGGGGGAGAATTCTGACATACAACAGGAGTAGCTTGTAGGGAGGAATATATACACAGGTGGAAAGGAGTTTTAGGTATTGCTGACTTTCTTTTAAGGAGTTCTCTCATGGTGAATTATATTCTTCATTTCAAAGCTAAGAAATATTTGCGTGTAGTAGGCTGTCCTGAACGTCCCATCCCTTCTCTTGGGCTCTTATGATCACATCTTTCTGTTTACCAAGATGTTCCACCTCCCTCTGTTGTTCTTTGTAAACTTTTCCACAGCACCGGGGATAGAAAAACCTCATCAGTACAAAAGGTGCTGATTAGTGCACAAAACAGCAATAAAAAAAAAGTAATGCATCTGTTTAACTCTGTCCAAATTATTAGTTGAAGCAAAGGGCTGGTATATTAAAAAAATAATCACAGAAGTACATAAAGGAAAGGTTTTGTAAAGACAAACATTTCATCTAACCTTCAATGACTCCAGAACTGCTCTGCAAGCGAAAAATCAAAATGAACTTTATGCAACGCAACTTACCTCAATTTGAAAGAGTTCCCCAGCACCTTCACAGTCATTTGATGTAATTATGGGGGTATGAATATGCACATAGCCATTATCCTGGAACAGACAGAACACTAAAGTTAACTAGCTAAAGATATCAAACGTCAGCTTCAAGGATGACATCAACCAGCACACATCATAACTCAGCTATTAGTCCCCAACCAGGACAGCATATGTACTCTTTCAGGCAACTTCTGCCTTACATGGACAAAGACAGAGGAGTAACTAAATACTAGCATGATTTACAAATCAATGTTTACTATGTGCTTTTTCTTCCATGTTTCATAAAGAAATGAGACTTATGCCATTACTATGGGTTTTTGCAACTGCCCTTCTCCACACCGTTCCCCTGTCTTTTCACCTCCTCCAGTATTTTTATATTTTTGGGCAGTTTCAGTCAAATTCACCCCTACGGCCTCAACACTTCAGTTTCTTCCAGCTTTTTGGAAGCTGGTGGTTGGGCAGAGGACGCTCTCTTAGTGTTCTCCACTAAGAGAAATGATCCAAGTGTGTAAATGACAGAAATCACACACTGCATGGGAGGGAGGCATTAAAAACACTCAACCAATGAAAATGTCAGTCCCACCTCACATCTTCTGAGATATCAAAGTCAAACTGATTTTTTAAAAGACAGGGTATACCCTGGCTTGGTCATGTTCTTGATCAAGTGTGTTAAATGACAGAAATCACACACTGCATGGGAGGGAGGCATTAAAAACACTCAACCACTATGAAAATGTCAGTCCCACCTCACATCTTCTGAGATATCAAAGTCAAACTGATTTTTTAAAAGACAGGGTATACCCTGGCTTGGTCATGTTCTAAGTACCTGGAGAATTGCCCATTCATGTAATAGTTCATAGACCCAGCAGAGGCCTCCGAAACCAGGAAGGCTGTATGAAGAAAGAGCCTCTATTCTCTGGGTTTCTCTGCAGTGCAGCTGTAGGCTTTTAAACCAGCTGAAATCCAATTTTCAGCAGATGGGTACATCAAGCAGACCTCAGACAATCACATACAGCATGTTAGAGGAAAAACCGGGAACAGAACTCTACTAACCATCACCTTCCTAACTTAGTCTCACTACAGAGATCACTGGTGGAGCACAGAGATCACACCTATGCGTGTCAAGGCAAACAAGAACCTGGAACTAGCTGATTTCAGCTGTGAACACAGGATTTGTTTTCTCTTGCATCACTGTAGTGTCTAGTACAAAGGGAATCCCTTTAAAATCAGGGTGTGCCAGCATTACCACGATACAGGCAATGATGTAGCATAACTCGTCTATTTACACAAAACACTAATAAAAAAAGAAATTATTTTTCTAAAGCAATTGTTTCTAAAAGGTTAGTTTCACAGTTTTTACCACAGCAATACAAATCGACCATTCATTACAGGTCCTGGTCTTTATCACTAGCTAGTTAAAAGGCTAAGAAGACAGGAGCAGCATTTACTGCCCATCTTGAGAATCAAACTAAAATTAATTTGGACCAAAGTGTTCGTACGGACATGCAATGCATTCTGCGGAAGTACCCTAACACGACCAAGAGGGAGCAAAGTCCCTGCAGTCAGCTCTAGACTACCTTGGTTACAGGTGCAAAGACCATGGCTTGCCAAGCGCCCAGCAGGAGCTCCTCACTGAGATCCAGTTACTACACAGAAAGAAGTTTTCGAGCCAGAAATACCTGTTTTGCCCAGGGAGGGCAGTTTCAGCCTACCAACACAAAATGCAGGTCTCTGCCATAATCCCATGCATGCTTCAGAGACCTGCTGATCATGGGGCCTCCCAACCCTACATGAGATTTTGGAAAAATCGCCTAAATTACAGCAACTGCTACCACTGTATGAGGAAAGAAGCACATTTCACACAGAACACCCCTTGCATGCTTTGGAAAGGAATGTGAACTGCACAGGTCTGAAAGATGAGAATCCCATAAACACCTCTTGCATATTTCTCCTTATTAAAGCTCCTAAAATACTTCAAGTCACATTAGTGGCTCTGACAAACCTGGAAGTTAGTTAATGTGCAAAGTGGAGGTTGCCATTCACACTGCAACCATTTCACTGTGCCTAGAAACAAGTTCCTATCCCACATGGACCACCATAGTCAGGAGAAGATTGAAAGATGACATTTTAGCCTTCAACATCCAAACCAAAGGCACTTGGCATTAGTCATTCACTGTTGGAAATGAATAGGCTAAAAAAAAAAAAAGTTTTTAAAGTTACAGGGAGTCTAGATAATTTTGAGTGTGTATTCCAAAAACGTCACTTATTTTCTTTCACCATTAAGCTCTTTACAGCTTTCCACAGTGAAAACACTCCGATTATACTTTCTAGTTATTGTATCTTCTGACATTGTCAAGTTGGAAATTGCAACATTCTTGGGATGATGTAGGTGGCAATTTAAAAAGACTGCTTTCCTTCCATCAGAAATGGAGCAAACCACAGACGTTCCTGGTGCTAGGAGAGTCGTGACATAAGCATTCGCAAATATCCGGTCTGGGACCAAATCTTCCTTATCCCTTTAAAAATAACTTTAGTGCAGCTGCTGCTGCTAAATTAATAATACTTTATATTTTTTAATACTGCTCAGCTCTTGAGCATTTTAAACGGGAAGATATGTCAGAGTCTGAGCTGGAGTTAATTTGGAGAAGTAAAGCCTTTGTCAGAGTAAGATGCTTTTTTGTATCTCAGCTGGCTTCCTTGTGCATGTTTGAAATCACAAATTGTTGTAGGCAATGCCATCTAGTGGCTCGACACCAGCAAAGACTGATTCCCAGCAGAGTTGGGTTCAGTCTTACAAGCTGGCACAATGCTGAAACCAACAGCAGCTTTACCTGACACAGTATTTCTATTAAGCTCTTAAAAAAAACCAAACTTCTAAATACCATGCAATTCCATACAGATAACTCTTAGAGCAAGCAAGCCTTCTTTGCCACTGCAAGCGACAAATACCAGCATATTCGGGACCAGAAATTCAGTCTCAACAATTCTGACCTGTTCTTTGGGCCATATTAATTACTACATATGAATTTTGTGATCAGAATGCTCTGAATATGGTTCTACTCAAACTAAAGCCAGTTTATCTAAACTAAAACATGTTTATTTCAAGGAACAGCTTTCAAAGAAAGGGCTCAGGTGTGCTAGAGGACTTGCTATCTTTCTTTATCTGCTCACACAAAGAATCGCGTGGTCTCTATATGGCATCTGGAATCAGTTAGTCCACTGCCCCCAGCACAAAGCCTGTACCATGCCCACAGCTCAAGGGCGACACATTCATAAAAGGCAGGTGCCTCCCACCCATCAGTCTGAAATGCATCAAAACAGGAGTCTCCTAATCTCAGCTAACAGCATCCACACAGTAAGAGAAAGGTAAGAACTGAGAAGAATAATATGAAGCTCTGAGTCAGTTTGTCGGTAGCCTTCCTGCATCGCAGATTTTTCCATGTGGGAGGAGGCTTCTGTCCAAGGACCGTAAGGTCACTGCTGAGGGTGGGTTAAACGACTCCGTATTACGTTGTGTTCCACAGACCACACACACTCGCAGGCAATTATATTGCAACGTAGCAAAAGGGATAAAACAACTAACAGGAAATGGGTAGAAAAACGCTAACAAGACCACAGATGTGCTAACCTGATCATAAGCAATAGTCTGGCCAAGGCCTCAGTCGGGCCCAGGCCTGGAAAGAAAACGGTGTGCAAAATCCATACCCTGCAGTCAACACATCACGCTCCCTCCCTCCTAACACGCTCCTGTGAAGCCAAACTGAGGGAGCGTTTTACACATAAGGCTCGGTACAGAAGGGACTACCTGGAAGAATGAGTGGATGGCTGCAGTGGCTTCACTGCGGATTCTCAAGAGGGTCAGTCAGGCCCAGGCCTGGAAAGAAAACGGTGTGCAAAATCCATACCCTGCAGTCAACACATCACGCTCCCTCCCTCCTAACACGCTCCTGTGAAGCCAAACTGAGGGAGCGTTTTACACATAAGGCTCGGTACAGAAGGGACTACCTGGAAGAATGAGTGGATGGCTGCAGTGGCTTCACTGCGGATTCTCAAGAGGGAGCCGAGTGTGTTGTTTCTGCATCGCAGGTGAGGGAACTGTCGGACATACTCCAGCGGGTGCCTCTCCTTCGTTTTCAGGGGGAATGACTAAAAACAAGGAAAGAAAAATTAGAGCATGAGAACTTAGAGTCAATATAGTTTTATTGCTTTTCATGGAATACCATCTCTGCCTACTAAAACTCAACTGTCATCACAGAGCAACGAAGAACTAGATGCTTTTGCCTATCTTTTCTAGGATTTTTTTGGATTTCGTAATGCTTATGGCAGAGCAAGAGCCATGAACACAAGAGAAGGTAGTAGCGCTCTGAAACACTCCACCTTCTGGATGTTGATCCCCCCTGAAAGCCAGCTGTTCATCTCACTGCTGCAACAGCGAGCCGGTTCCAAACGTGCCTGTGGCAGATACGGTTCTTCCATCTGCACAATCTGGAGTATTTTGCCAGTCCCACTGCTTCTCCAATTCGTACCCCAGCCAGACTTGCCAGGTAAACCACCTGGCACAGATAACTGCTTCAGGGTGGGACAAATGCACACTCTTAGCTGCCAGCATGTGTGCCAGTTTCCACGTAGAAACAGCTCTGCCCTCGAAGACAGCTTTCATGGTGATCCCACGTTTCTCCTTTGACATACCCTATAGACACCGCTGGCAAATCAAAGCCTGCAGGAGCACTCAGACTGAAAGAAAATACAGTTTGAAGCATGCTTTGCTAGATACTTGGACCTTTCGAAATTAATTCCCAAAATGGTCCTACCAGTTGGACTCCTGCTGCAGTGACATACCCAAGTATCACAAGGTCCCACCACATGGATGGTTTCAGCTTTCACCTCCATATTTTGCTTCCTATGAGGACTTTTGACCAGTTTTCCTTGCACTTCAACTGCGCTTCCAAAAGTCAGGTCTCTAAGACACCAAGAAAAAACAACAGCTTAGCCAGGCGCTGATACAAATTCAACTACATTCAGAAGAGATTCCTGTTAATTTAGCTGGACCACTTGAGATCACAAGAGATACTGTAGCCATAGGGCTTAACTGATGAAATGAAAAATTATTAAATATATAAGTGGGAACATGAATAGATTCACAACGCTATAGAAGAATTAAGGACAAGGTAGGAGCGTTGGACAAGTGAGGGGAAAAGGTTTTTATTAGAAGGGGATATTGGTGGGGACAAACCAGGCTTATAGAACAAAAAAAGTAATTAAAAAAAAAAAATTAAAAATCAAGTTACATGCAGAAGGTTCCTGGATCATCCCAAAACCCCCAAACCTAGCCCAAAGAACAACCGAGAGCAACAAACAAAATGAAGCTGTAAAACAAGTGCATTATTTTATTCTAATAGAACAGGCATGCCTATCTAGGGGGTATGCCTACAGAGCCAGCCCTCAAGTTGTTATAGGAAGAGCGACAGCGCTCTCCAAAAACCTGGGGGACAGTTATCCCTGGCTACGTTGTGTGATTTCCAAGCAAGTCCAACAGTAGTTCAGAACGCCCACGCTGCTACAGCTGTTAAGAAAATTAGGTCCAAATTAATCTCACAGGACAAGCAAGTGAACCACCAGGCCTCAGCTATGTGGAGACAGAGTAGTTGGACACTCGCCATCCTAAAAACACATCCAGAGATCCCAGACTGCAGTAGTGCCTTTCCTGTGGTCAGTGCCAGCTGCTGGAGGCTCCTCCAGCTGTCTGGTGAGTCACTGGGATAGGAAAGGAAGCCTGAGCAGACCCCTCCGAGCACTGCTCAACACAGATATTTCTCCAAGTATCTCAAACTGACCAACCTATTTTCCAGGCTGGGATCAGCAACCACCTGGAGGTTTTCCAGAGAACTCCCATCGTTTATATGCAGGAATAAAACTTCCTTCTGGGATCGGACAGAGCGGACCCAGCCCTAGAGGTAAAAGAAAAAGAAATTTGTTATTTCTTGGCATAGACTCCGCGTAGTCATGGTCTTCTTCCAGAGCTGAGCTGGACATGCTACCTCAGGCCTACTTCAACTTCTTATTGAAATCAAAGGAAATATTTCTTTAGGGGCAACAAAAATAAAAAATAATTAAAAAAAAAATCAGTGTCAGTTTTTCTACTGACTTCAAAGCAAAGAGAAACAAACCCTTAGGCAGAGACATCAACTCTTCTCCTGAGTACAGCAGGGATAACTAAGATCTACCTGCACCTTTGGGGAGCTGAGAATACGGAAAGCAGCAAAGCACTCTGAAGATGAAAAACATTTTAGCAAAGTGCATATTCTTATCAGTGATGTCTCTTCAAAACACTTCTTACTGCAACAGGAGAGACCAGTAATGCACAGTTCTTTATGGTAACACACTCAAGGCTGTTTTGATGATTTTTAGTACCAATTTTTGTTGCTGTATCACCTGTAGGAAGGTTCCAACTGAAATTTGTTCACTAGTTGTTTAAATGCCCTAAGCCGCTGGACTGCTAAAACAATGATGCTGCAGCCAATAGATTCAGGTGCAAAACTACATAGTCATGCAAGACAAAAATCAAAATTAATGCCCTGACAATTGTGGATGTTTCTCCTTACACCTCAAAATCAAGACTGCTACACTGTCCCCATGGAAAAAAAATATTAAGAAAGAAATCTAGAAAAGTTCTTGTCCAGTGTGACTAATAGAATTAAAACAGTAACACAGCAGTTCTTTCTCAGAGCAAAACAGTAGAACTGACCACGTACATGTCAGGCTAACGTCTTAATTTGAGTTTTTCAATGAGAAATAACATTTCCCTTAAAAAGAAATTAAATTTTAAGTCAGTACTGAGGCACCAAGCAACAGTAATAGCATCCAAAACACAACTCCCTTAGTTGCTCCCCAGATCACAAGAGTTGAGACAAAGCTGCCCTTAAAAGCAAAACTATCCATGGGGGAGCTTCCAGCTCATCTTATAGTAATACTGTAGAAAACAACCAAAAACAGTGCTGATTAAACAACCAAAAAGCTTCCAGCTCATCTTATAGTAATACCGCAGAAAACAACCGAAAACAGTGCTGATTAAACAACCAAGCTGCCTCTTTTCCAATCAGTTTTGTCTTTTGCTTAACTGTAAGCGCCCAAGTAGTTCCAACGACTTCAAACTGCGCAAGTGCTTTAGGGATTTTATACCAGACAAACCAGTGCTAATCCATCTACTTCTGTTGTCCAGACTGAACAAACTTCAAGAACTAAACAGTACCAAAAGCAAAGCATTCTTAAAAATCACAACATGACTACTAACACAGACAAGGCATTAGGCAGGCTTGTGTAACAGGGAGAGGACAACTGCATACAAGAACTATGGAAGATTTTAAAGTCATAAACCTAATGATTAATGAAAATTCAGCTTTTGCTCACAATTTCAGACAGGTATTTACCTCAACGACCTCTGCAGGGTGTTCCACCTGAGGCAACAACTAATCCAAGAAATACGAGTCTAAAACTAAAGTCTGATCATTTGGACAGCCTCATATTCTTATGGCTAAAGCAAGAGATGTTTAAAAGGTACTTCATACAGTAACACACCTGAAGCTGTTGCACTTATCCTCTGTATTCCAGTAAATCCCCAGAACATATCATATACGTTATACTTGATGCATAATGTTTAACAGCAGATGTTTTTCTTATTTTCTTTCCTCGTAAGCACTCCTTAATGAAACACACAAAACCCCTGAATAAAGAAACAGTCCTAAGAGCTTTTTTTTCACCTCATCAGGCTGTTCCGGGATCTGTTAAATAAGGAGATGAGTCTTGCATCCTTCAATAGGAAATAAGAGCATGCCCACAGGCTTGTACTGGAGCGGCAGGGGCTGTGGCAGCAGTGTTTTGACCACTTGACACCTTACCAGAAGCAATGTGTATTGACGATCCTGACTCAGACCAGACTGCACATTCCAATAACCTGGCCATAATAAGGTTGGGTTTAAGCCAGACCAGTTCCCCAATCCAGTTCAATACAAGAAAACATTTTTGCCAGCACAGGGGAAGAGCAACAAAGCAGGAAGGACCTGATGCAAAAAAAAAAAGGCAGTATTGCCAATTTTAGCATCAGTTTATTCCAGCTTGCATCATTCATATAACTACAGCTGAAAAGCACCTATACTGGATGAGCTTCTTCCTACCCTCTTAGGCTTCATCTATGTGTGTGCAGGAATACCAGTGTGCTAGAAACTGGGTTTTGGGTCAGCAGAATCATAGAATGGTTTGGGTTGGGAGGGACCTTAAAGATCATCCAGTCAAACCCTCCTGCCATGGGCAGGGACATCTTCAACTAGACCGGGTTGCTCAAAGCCCCGTCCAACCTGGGCTTGAACATTTCCAGGGATGGGGCATCCACAACTTCTCCGGGCAACCTGTTCCAGTGTCTCACCACCCTCATAGTAAAGAATTTCCTCCTTATAAATCTAAATCTACCCTCTTTCACTTTAGTTTAAAACTGTTACAAAGTACCCCAGTCCTTTACAGATTCATCCAGAAATACTGACAACTGCTCAGTTCCAGCCAAGGGCCTTGCACTAAAACAGGGACTATGCATCTGCAACCACTGCTCTGTCAGTCAGGAACATCAGAAAACAGGGCGACACACAACCCTGTGCTGAGGAAAGGGAAAGAGCTTCATTGCTAAAGAGTCCCTTTATCCCAGGCTACCTTGCTTCACAATATGAGCTGGACACAAACGTCAATGAAACTGTTATTGTTGGCTCTACCTGCCACTGCTATAAACCTAGATGTGGAACAAGACCTAAAGCAAAGCTTTAAAATCATCAGCACAGAGGCAATAGTTCACTCTCCCAAACCAAACCGGCAATAAAACCGAAACTGTACAGAGTACGTTTCAGTATAACCCGTCACAGTAACAGCCTTTCCCTGCACGTGCCTCGAGGAACTTTAAAGCTTTGTATCTGATCCACAACGGCAAACTGAAGAAATACTTCGAGAGCTGGCTCTAGAGGCTGTAAAAGAGATCTGTAAGTTTAGTAAAACGCGCTGCAGAGGTTCTAGCTTTTCCCCCTGAAGCACATGCAGTGAAGCCGGCGCAGGCCATGCCACTCCAGCTCCTCTCCCTTCCGTTAAGGCTCTGGGCCGGGTCGTTACCAGGCACACCCCGACCTCCCGGCCACACACCTGCACTTTAACCTCTCCAGCCGGCTCCCGGGCCCCCAGCGCCTCGCGGACCCGCAGCCGCACCGCTCGCTGCGCCCGGGGCAGGGAAGCGCAGCGGCGGAGGGCCTG